CCAAAAAACAAACTCAAACCAATAACAAGCAAACACATACCAATTCCTACCAACAGACGAAAAGTGATAATTCCCTTTTCTGAATTCTGTGACGCAGAATCAGCGGATATCTTTCTGGAGACCAAGAGTACTTGTTCTCTGTTGAACTGACAAATAATGCTTCAAAAAAACTTTGAAAAATAAGGACTGGGAAATATACCTCCGTCCTATTAATGCTGCATTTTCTGCAGCAGCATTCCCTCAAAACATGGGACACTACACGGCAAAATTTGGAAACAGGATTAAAAACCGGCTTTACGTCAGACAGATAATATCAGCAGAAGAAAATAGTCAGCCTCACTAGACCTACAGTACGTGAAGCAGCCTTCTCTCAAAACATGGGAGGGCAAACAGGAGAGGGTTAGAACAACATGCAACTTCTCAATCAACAGGGCCAGATGCATGTTCACTTTTGGAGTAAATACTGAAATAGTATTGACCAACAATTAATATCCAAGTCTCGATAAGCGAATCAATCTGGGGGAAAAAGAGAAAGCCTCGTACGAAAGGATCAAGGAGAAGAGCAGCAGCTTACGGTTTTACAGACCTGCGGTAGGTCGGGATTGGCAGACACTTCTCCCCCGATAGCGCTGCCGTTCGGGCTCGGCTTCTCGCAGGAATCGCCGCCCAGCAGCTCCTCCGCCGACAGGATGGGCACCGGCGGCGGCGGCCAAGCGGCCTCGGGCACGGCGCGGGCCGGCGCCGCCACGCACAGGTTGTAGGAGTAGGGCAAGGTGCCCTCGCAGAAGTCGGCCGGGAAGGCGGCGCCGGCCAGCGAGAAGCGCTGCGCGCCCAGGCAGCGCAGCACGGCGGGCGGCCCGGCCCGGCGCAGCCGCGCCAGCACGGCCAGCGCCACGCTCAGCACCAAGAGCGCCGACAGCAGCGCCAGCGCCAGCACCAGGTAGAACTGCAGCTCGGCCGCCGCCGCCGCCTCGGCGCCCGCCGGCCGCTCGCTCAGCTCCGGCAGCGCCTCCTGCAAGCTCTCGGCCAGCACCACGTGCAGCGTGGCCGTGGCCGAGAGCGCCGGCTGCCCGTGGTCCTTCACCACGGCCACCACGCGCTGCTTGGCCGCGTCCCGCTCGGACACGGCGCGCGCCGTGCGCACCTCGCCGCTGTGCAGCCCCACGCGGAACAGCGCCGGCTCCGACGCCGGCACCAGCTCGTAGGACAGCCACGCGTTGCGCCCCGCGTCCGCGTCCACCGCCACCACCTTGGCCACCAGGTACCCGGCCTCGGCCGAACGCGGAACCACCTCGAAAGGAGTCGCCGCCGCTCCCGGAGCCTCTCCCGGCGCCGCAGCGGCTCCGCCTCCCGCCGCTGCCGGCCACAGCACCCGGGGCGCGTTGTCGTTGCGGTCCAGCACGAAGACGCGCACCGTGGCCGTGGAGCTGCGCGCCGGCGAGCCGCCGTCCTGCGCCCGCACGGCCACCGTGAACTCGCGGCACTGCTCGTAGTCCAGGGAGCGCTGCGCGTACAGCGCGCCGCTCCGCGCCTCCACCGACACGAGCGGCGCCGCGCCCGCCGCGCCCGCGCTGCCGCCCGCCAGCCAGTAGCTCACGCGCCCGTTGGCGCCCGCGTCCGCGTCCCGCGCCTGCACGCGCAGCACCAGCGCGCCCGCCGCGTTGTTCTCCGCCACGTACGCGCTGTACGCCGCCTCCTCGAACACCGGCGCGTTGTCGTTCACGTCCGACACCTCCAGCACCAGCTCCGTGCTGCTCCACAGCGCCGGCCTGCCCCGGTCCCGGGCCACCACCGTCACGCGGTGCTCGGACGCCTGCTCGCGGTCCAGCGCGCTCGCCGTCACCACCTTGTACGAGCCGCCCGACGACGCCACGATCGACAGCGGCGCCTCTCCCGACAGCTCGCACGACACCTGACCGTTCTCCGCCACCGTCCGTCGCCTCCAAGCCAAAAATGTATTTATTTTCCTCCTCAAAGTCGAGTGGACCCACCGTCCTGATCTCTCCACTCTCGCTGTCGATAGCGAACAATGATAGCACGTCATCTGGGACGTTGCCAAAGGAATACGACAGTCGTCCGTTTGAGCCCACATCTGCATCCGTCGCCCACACCCGCAGCACCAGAGAACCCGCCGGCAGATTCTCTGCCACTCGCGCCTCGTAGACGCTTTTGCTAAACACGGGTGGGTTGTCATTTGCGTCTGTCACGTTGATGCGAATCAGGACTGTCCCAGACATCGTAGGTTCCCCGCTGTCCACTGCTGTCAGCACGAGCTCAAAAGAGCTCTGCTTCTCTCGGTCCAGCGGTCCCTCCAGCACTAATTCCGGCAGCTTTTTTCCACCAGTCTTTTCTTTCACTGACAGTGAGAAGGACGAGTCGCTCGTGAGTTGGTAAGTCAGCAGCGAATTACTTCCTGCGTCTGCATCTCGTGCCATTTCCAAAGGAAAACGAGCACCGGGAGGGATTAATTCACCGATCTCGAGGTCCAGAGCAGTTTTGCTGAAAACTGGGGAGTGGTCATTCACGTCCTCGATGGCCACCTCGACGTGGAAAATATTCAGCGGGTTGTGCAAGAGCACCTCGAAGCTGACGGAGCAGGTCGGCGATGCCCCGCAAATCTCCTCCCGGTCCAGCCTCTCATTC